TCTGTCTACATCGGGGAATCGAACCACAGATTTCAGCGTCGTAAGTCCGCAAACTTACCACTGACCCACTGGGGACATGATAAAGTCAAATCCCACTATTCGGTCAGACAAGAGTAGCCCAAAAGTTGGCAGTTGGTGGTTTAATCACCATCTCTTTAGTCCATCAGCTCAAAATAGGGGACAACAATGCGCAGACAGCTCTACAAAACAAACAAACATTATTTTAATATACAGAAATTTTAATAATATGATATACGCCGAATTTCAATTAATTAGAGCACAGACAAGGATATAAAAATTATCCTGGAATGGACAGAAAATAGGCTAATAATAACAGCAAATATTCCATGTGGAACTAAGCTATAAACCAACGTGTTACGTCATTGACAATGGCTTGTAATAAACTGCTCTTCATTAGAACGGGGATGATAGCTTAAAATACCCCAATTTTTTAGCAACATAATAAACTCACTAGAAACGGCTTGAAAAAGAGTTTGCTCGAAATGTTGCACTGTTTTTAGTTGTTATTTTTTTAATTGGGTGATTTTCCCCACTTATTTATTTTCTAGCTTTAATCACCTTATCGTTTCTTTGAAATACTCGAGTTTAAAATTAATTTTCAAACCGATTACACGATGACTGAAAAAGGCTGACAGTTAATTTTGGTTAAATTCTGCTTATATTGTTAAGCTGCTGGGCACGTTGATGGACTTGTAGAAGGTTAGTATGTACTGAAGTTTAATTAATCATTATTTGGAATACGGTTAAACTCACCAAGTTGATTACAAAGTGTTTTTCTCCATACGTAGAATATACTTTTTTGAAATAATAAATTACTGGCTGTAAGCATTTTCCTACTTTTAACGAGTTGATGTTCTTAGAAAGGTCGCAGAATATTTACGTGAAAGGCTTTTAAAATGTGGAAGAAAGACATAAAATTAAGTGAATTTTCGCTATTAACGTCGAACTGAATGTTTCGATCTTAAACCCGTTTTCAGGATCTACTTGTGGTTGCGCAAGCACATAATGTCTTATTAATCCTTACTTCAACTGTGATTTGTAAACGAGTTGATAAAAACTTAGCGCAGCTGCTTATGGTACTTAATGTTTTCTACATAGTCGACATTCTTCTGATGAAACATTTTTTGGCTTGAAATAGTCGCATGTAATGACTTCTGTTGACACTTTGTAATTGGAATCACGAAGCTGTATTTCTACTGTCAGGTACTGTAGGCCGGATTATTTACAATAAATGTCTGTGACATGTTGGCGATAAATTTCAACAATAAACAAACAACACACAGTCCACTTGTTTTAAAATAATATATTAAGACAAGTCAAACGTGTATACAAATGTTCGTTATACTATTGGTTATCACAGTTGTAACGAGAGATTCAAATAATTGTTTCTTTTTCGTCAAAGTCCATACAAGCTGGTTCAATTACTTTAGAACACAACTGACAAGACGAATTATTGTTCTCTGCTCTGTTATTACAATACAGACTATGATAATTGCACTTTAAAAATCGCAACTATACGCTCTTTATCGCTCACAATCACAAATTTTACGTATTTCTAGCACTGGTTCTAAACAGGCAGAGGAGACTTTAATCTTACGTATTTCTAGAACTGGTTCTAAACAAGCAGGGGGAACTTTAATTGTACGTATTTCTAGCACTGGTTCTAAAGAAGCAGGGGAATTTAATTTTACGTATTTCTAGTACTGGATATAAACAGGTAGGGGAAAATTTAATATCACGAATTTCCAATTCATAGTTCTTTGTTGCTTATTCAAACAATGAACTGGATCGTTAACACGCTGTGTTAAAAAAATGGATGAATGACAAAATATTGATTGAAATACACTTTGCATGTCGAAATCAACGTTTCGGACCTAAGTCTTTCTCCAGGTTCTGTATTACATTGTTCATAACGTCGATCATGCGACACGTGTTTTATCTCATATTTCTAAGAAGTTATGACTAAAAGTAAAGAAGTGAGTGTAATAATATGTCAACCTCTGCTATATCCGGCACAGACGAGGCTTTTTGCCCGACACCAGTCCTCACTAGGCCTACTGGAATACGACAAACTAGGCCTACAAACTACAAAAGCATGCAAATGCTACGAGGGTCCAGGGTATGCTTTCCCAGAAAGTTTGTAAAATATATGTGCTATGAGATTATATCTGGAAGCAATTTTGTATGAAATATGGCTTAAACAATTGCATGGTTGTTCAAATAAAATCCACAAACATCCAATGAAAAGTCAACAAATCATCATTCTGTTGTAACACTGCATGGGGAGCCAGACTTAAATTAGCATAATAACATAATAAGGAATTGCTTTAGAACAAATGCTAGAAATATGTAAAATT